GTGCATGTGGATAGAATTAGGCCACTGCTCTCAGTCAGTCCTGGTTTAGAACTGAAACTGGCTGAAGGTTTAGTTCTCCTGGACCTGGTAAGTTAGGGGTGTCTGGCCTGAGGGGAGGGACAGAAGGAGGAGGGTTGAAAAAGCACTAATATTTTAGTTGACAAAAATGTACATACCTTAGTAAGACATGAAAGAGCAATTGTTAAAGGACAAGGGCTTAGTGGCAAGTTTTACATATTGCAAAATGTGGCAGTGACTGATTCAAATGGAAATGTGATGTTAATGCATTTTCCCCACCAGCCCATGCCCAGACCTTGTTTGGTGGGAGGGTAAATAAATGAAGTGAAGCAAGCTAGTGCAAAGTCTTCAATTTAAGAATTCAGAGATCCATGAACATGATTCAGGTGTTTGAGACCAAAAGCCACAGGTGAAATTATGATCATAAAGCAGATGAGAGAGGGTAAAGTGCAACAAGAGCAGCCAGGACTCAAGGCTTGAGGAGGACATGATGGGGAAGGGTTACAACATGATGTTTGTGAGACAGTTCATACATCACAGCAGCAGCAACCACATGGCTTGCTCAAAACTTGACTATAATAAACGAAAACACGTTTCTCATGCCAGAATGAAGCCCAAGCAGATGGCCGTGACAGGACATGCAAAGCTAGGCTAGAGGATGGAAGGGGCAGAGGATTAGAAATGCAGAATTCCCCCCACTCACTTGTGATATCATAAACAACAACTGCAACAGTGGAGTCACGAATGTAGCTAGGAATCAAGCTCCTGAACCGCTCTTGACCTGCGACCTGCTGTATAATTGCAACCGTACCTAACAAAATCAGTCAAACAAGCAAGAAAAACAAGAAAGAAGGTCAACCCCAGTGCAATATACCTACTTGTGATATCGTAAACTACTACAGCAGCGGCAGAGTCACGGATGTAACTGGGAATGAGGCTACGGAAACGTTCCTGACCCGCAGTATCCCACAGCTGCAACCTGATCTGTGGGTGGGAGAATTGCAACCGTACCTAACAAAATCAGTCAAACAAGCAAGAAAAACAAGAAAGAAGGTCAACCCCAGTGCAATATACCTACTTGTGATATCGTAAACTACTACAGCAGCGGCAGAGTCACGGATGTAACTGGGAATGAGGCTACGGAAACGTTCCTGACCCGCAGTATCCCACAGCTGCAACCTGATCTGTGGGTGGGAGAAAATGAAAAAAGCCAAACTGCCACTAAAAATAAAAGAGTAAATAAATTGTACTTTTTTGTTGTTGTTGTTTGAAAAAAGCTAAATAAAAATGATCAAGTCATGCAGGAGGTGCCTGGGGACTGGGAGCAGCAGCACACTGTCTCCTTCACAGCAATCTCTCCCAATGGTTAGTAGCAGCCAAACTGAGGGGGGTGCAAACAGCTCAGCTTTTCAAAAAATGGTTCCCTTCCAAGAGGGGAGGAAGAGAATCCCTCAGCTTTCAAACTGAGAGGACCAACAAGAAAACTATGATTAAAGTCATGGAATCACCATCCTTGAAAGTGTTTGAAAGGCATGCAGGTGTTGGGGACATGGTTAGTGGTGGGCTTGGCAGTGCTGGGGGAATGGTTGGACTGAATGGTCTTAGAGGACTTTTCCAACCTTAGTGATGTTGTGATTCTATGAAATGTTCACCTGCAGCTCTGCCTACACAAGAGTTTCATGCTCTGCTGCTGTCCTTCCTCAGGACTCACACAGGCAACCCCCAGCAGCACGAGGGATGGTTGCTGGTGGAAGAATCCCACCACGTTCCTAATGGAAGAGCCTTCAGCTGCTGTCCAAGCTGGAAAAACTACTCATGTCAGTTTTTAAAGGAGGATAAAATGCTAGCTGTAACTCTGTAGTTAAGCCATAGCCACATTGCAAAGTAACATGCACAGAGATGAGGCTGAATGTCTCTTACCATCAAGGTTCTGAAAGAAAAGGCAAGATATACCAAACACAATGTGCACGATAAGGTTGGCAAGGGCCGCTTTGGCTATGAGAAGAACATCTCATCCCTCAAGCACTTTCAGTGCAATCTCATCTATTGGGGGTTTATACAACAGCATAAGCTTCTGCAGCACTGCATGGTTTTGTTTCTGCAAATAGATCAGTGACTGAATTTCTTAATTTAAGAGTCTGAGCTCATTTCAAACCAAAGGTTTGCTTCTATAGAGGAGTAATTTCATTTCAGGAACTAGCACTGTACCAAGCTAAGAAACAAGTATCATTTGTGGATTACCATTGAAGCCATCCTTGTTTTTAAACAAGTAATAAGAAGATGGAGCTAACTGACAACGTCTGGCAACTTGTATCTTTCTGTCTTGTGACATCAAAAGCTGATGGCCCTCTCTTCTCCAAATTCCCACCATTATTCACCCCTCAAACTATCTGCATTACCTCTCTCTTCACGGAGGATGACACTAAAGCACCTCCTGCCACTGTCAAATGGCACTTGTGGTCCCTCCACAGAGGAACCAAACTGTGACCTCCCATTGCTGTGTCTCCACAGCATCGTCAGTCTGGAAGCAGCTTGGGAGATGAAGGCTCAGTCTGTACTTCCCAGTGATCTCAGAACTGTGGGCTGCACAACCACAACAGATGTTGATCCTCATTCCTACTGTACATAGAGAAGTGCCACAGGAATCTTACTCACTGTTCGATCCTCCAGGTACATGGTTTTCGATAAGAAGTCGATGCCAATTGTTGCCTGCAAAGAAATGAGAAAACCAACAGCTCTTAAGTGAAATGTCAGAACAGCTGCAGTGATTTCAGGGGAATGAGCTCCACTGCCAGACCAGAATTCAGCACCTACAGGAAAATCAGGCTGGTTTTCTTCCTTTTAAGATACATACCACTAAATGTGATTCAATTATCAATTTATTTAATATATCCACAATCAGGACAATATCTCAAAGCATAAACTTAAAGAGTAACTGCCTCCAAGCTTCTAAAAACCAGCAGACCTTCCTGTAGAACATCCTTAATAAGTGTTTAAGAGAAAGTGAAGCATTACAAAGTGCTATCAAGAGCTGCTTCTTAAATACATGATCTTCATACCACTTTTCAAGGCTGTGGTGAGAGTGAATCCAAGCTCTAGGAGTGGGTTTGCAGCAGTTGACTTGTTGGGGCTCTAAGGCTGCCCTGGCTTCAACACTGGAGCATCTCGAGCAGCCACAGTACTCAGCACCACCACAGAGAATGGAAAATGGTCCAAATTGGGTTAAAATGAAGAAAAAAAGGAAAAAACCACAGCAGGCAAGACATAAGTCTCTCAGCAAGGCAAAGAGGCTAAATACCACCTCTTCTCTGCTCTCCCACACAGAAGTATTTCTGATGGAGTCTATCTGATTGTATATGCTCCATATTGTTAAACTGTTATGTCCTCTCTATATAACCCCAAAATTAATTAATTCCTTGTATTCTGCCAGACATTTCACAAGGTTTGAAGAAAGACCATAGCCAGACAGTCTACTTTTGAGCAATATGTGAAAATCAGCTGCAAAGGAATAAATAAAACCAGCAGAACTGAACAACCCAATCTGAATTTCCACTGGCAATTAAATACTGCACAACAGAAAACAAACTTTCCTAGCTGAATCAGGACAGCAGATTTGGATTACCAGAGATGCATACAGTAAAAATCAATATTGGTAGACCCCAAAACCACGCATACAGGAAAAATCAATATTGGTAGACCCCAAAACAGCTACTCCATGATTTTTCACCTGTCAATAACAACTGTGACATTACCAGTCCGGAGAAACAATGCTGAAACTCAGAAAATTGCCTCAGAGATGCTTCTATTTTCCCTTGTGTCCGTATAATTTCGCTTTCCCAAGAAAAAGCTACAAACTCCTTAAGACATTACACTATATATACAAATGAGGATCCCATTCTTGCTGTCAAAAAATGCTGGAGACTTGGATTTTCTCTGCTCTCATTAGGAGCTGAAACATCAGCTGCAAAGCCCAAAACCTGCCTCAGCCTGTACTTGATGTCATCCCTCCCACACAGCTCCCTGACGCTCAATGGCTCCACGAGGAGTTTCTGTGCATCTCACAAAAAACCAAGTGCCACACAGAAATGCAGTGGGTCAGTGACACACCACGATGCTCACAGCATGGAGAATGCAACAGAAAAGCAAAGCACTAAACTTATTTTAGATCTGGGTGATGAAAATATCTCCATACTGTGAGGAATGCACGGCAAGTCTGTTACTTTCAAGCTGTGAAATGGCTCCTGACCAGAGCCCCCACAAGCTTTAAGAATTATGTGGAATCACAGCAATTTCTATTTTTTATAGTATTTGTCCACCTGTACTGTTCTGGCCATATACACAGAAGGTATATCATGGTATATCACAGAATGGTTTGGTTGGAAGGGAACTTAAAGTTTATTCAGTTTCATCCCCAGCTGTGGGCAGGGACACCTTCCACTAGACCAGGCTGCTCCAATCCCCATCCAACCTGGCCTGGAACACTTCCAGGCATGAGGCAGCCACAGCTGCTCTGAGAATTCCATCCCAACACCTCATCACCCTCACAGGGAAGAATTCCTTCTCAATATCCCATCTAGCCCTGCCCTCTGGCAGTTTTAAGCCATTCTCCCTTGTCCCGTCCTTCCAGGCCCTTGTCCAAAGTCCCTTTTGCAGCTCCCTTGGAGCCCCTTTAGGCACTGGAAGGGGCTCTAAGATCTCCCTGGAGCCTTCTCTTCTCCCGGCTGAACACACCCAGCTCTCCCAGATTGTCTCAGGGAATGGGTTCAAGCATTCTCTCTATCCCAGACTTTTACAAAAATAGATAACCTACAAAGAGGCATTTTGTCACAATTCTGACAGAAGGAGCAAAAACGCTTTGGGATCTTTACAGATCAGATGCGACAAGCAGGTGTGCCCTGTATGAGTAGAGGAAAAGTCTCTTTCTCATGGGGAAAAATACACAGACATGCAACCAAGCTAATTACTGTAATTAAGATGGAGGCAAGCTTAACCCTGCTGTGAAAAGGATCAAGGAGGAACCAGGCATGTTCTGAACATGAGGTAAGGTAGTGTAAGTCCCAACTGTGATTTTAAAGAAGACAAACAGAACACAAAACACTTCAAGAGAGCCACAGGATGAATGGGGCTGTGCATGAGAGGATTTTTAATCCATCTGTATCCACACCACCATTAACAACTGTTGTTACCCCATTTTCTAGACCATACTTGCTGACACAGAATTCCCAAGCTATGGAAGGATGCCTGAGGCAAAGCAAGAACCTGATTTTGTTTTGAGTTTCAACTCCACACTGTCCTCCCTCTCCTTCTCCAAGAGGCTGAGGGAAGTGTGGCCTGTAATTCTCTTGCACAACACACAGAACCATCATGTTTGCCAACACTGGTCTTCCATGACGTATCACATTCAGTGCCACAGAACAGGGGAAATCCTTCCCAGCATGTCCATGGAGGGAATCACTCCTGGTAAAATATACACCTCCAATGGCATCATTTTATTTCAGGTGTTTGGGTTTCTTTGACACAGTACAGCAAGTTGTTATTAATAAGACACAGGGGTAACAGCTGAACTTCTCTCATCTGGCAGCAAACTAATGCACAGCACAGATTTTATTAAACAGCAGCTTGCTATTTTTAACAGCTGAACACAAATCCCCTTGTCCCAATGATAAGTTGTGGTAGCCTGCAGAAAAAAGGCATTCAAAATTTATCAGAAACACCCAGAAGGAGCAAATCATCCATCAGCTCATGTCCAGCTGGAGCTAACCACAAACATGGTTTGATATCATTATCATTAAGTACTGGGCTTGGGGAGGTCTCCATAGAATCCTGGGCATCTAAAAATTTATGTTCCTGTCTGACACTAACAAGCAGTGTGATTTAGGCCAAATCACTGCAGCTTTTGTGACTCATTCTTTCTTGAGCTATGGCAAAATAGGATGCATTGTCCCACCTCAGTCATGACTTCAGTAAAATGGAGGTCTTTGGATGAATGACTCTATACCAAGTGCATCAACACCCAAACCAGGCACACATCAGTGATAGCTAAATTGAAGCAATCTTGTAAGCCCTTAAGATTTCCTGCTGTTCTAAGTCCCACTCATTCATTTTGCAATCACTTAGTACATTATGTCAGAGCAGCTTTCCATGGAGACAACTATATTATCATAAAGCACAGAGGGTCAAACCTCCTCAAGAAGGAACTAGGACACAAGCTCCACAGAGAAAAGGATCAGACCTGAAAGAAAAATACTGTGGGGAAAAAAAAATCCAGATTAAATAAAAGAACTGCATTCACATGTCTATGTAATTACAGTGGGGAGGATCTGAAAGGATGTTTGCTCCCATGGGAGCAGTGATGTGTGCTCTAGCTCTCCTATATCATAGAAGCTTGGCTTCTCCCATAGTTTACAGAATATTCAGAGTTCAAAATGACCCACAAGGATCATTTAGCCCAACTCTCAGCCCTGCACAGGATATCCCAAAATTCCACCATGTGCCTGAGAGTGTGGTCCAAGCACTGAGCTTTGTCAGGCTTGGGGCCATGACCACTGCCCTAGGGAGATGTTCCAGTGCCCAACCACCCCCTGGGGGAAGAACTTTGTCCTAACATCCAACCTAAACCTCTCCTGAAATAACTTCAGGCCATTCCCTCAGGTCCTGTCACTGGTTAAGTGAGACCTCTTCATCTCATTCCACCCCACTTGCCTAGCAGCAGCAAGGAGGACTTAGTGAAGAGGCAGCAAAGAAAATATTGAGGGGTAGAGAGACTTAAAGGAGACACTTGGGTAGACATTAAGGAACAGAAGAGTCACAGCATTTTTCTCCTTTTTTTTCCCCGATTACCTCCTCCTCCCACCCCACTAAAAAAACCTTCACATGCATCAGGGAACAGATTTTCTCAGCTTAGTGCCTTCAGAACGTCACCAACTGTAACCAAGTCATGAAACATATTCTGCTTAGAGAAGACAGAGTTTATGAAACTAAAGCACTTTTTTTTTCTGCTTCACAAATCCTTCTTCACTCCTTCCTCACCTCTTGCAGCTCAGCTTACTTGGTTTTTAATAGAGCTGTGTACCTGTTAGGTTTTACACACATAGGGATTAGGTCTGTTATGGTCTGGTAGCACATGGTGGGAGGAAAAAAGACCCCTGGCAAACTTAACTGCTATTGTTTGGGTGTATCTTAGGTATTCCTTTTAAACCACAGCTCACCCTGCTGTGAGCAGCAGAATCCAATCCTGAAGTGCCACTCTGGCAGGTGATTAAAATACAAAGCTGAAAGATTTTGCAGTTAAGAATTTGGTCAGTGCACCAGCTCTCAGGGAATGGCTTATTCCTACAATGGAAGACATGGCAGAGGAGTCTTACAGAAGACAATAATAGGGATTCATTTACCTGGTAGGTGTTGTCAAAGCTGTCATACATGAACCTGGTGATCAAGGAAGTCTTCCCCACTGAAAGAAGAAAAGAAACATGGATTCAAGTAACAGTTTCAGTGCCAGTTTTAAGCAAGTGATTTAGAAACAGTTTCAGGAGGAGCTTTATTGTGTACAACAGATCCACAGTGTGCAGTTAAACTTCCTACAAGGAAAAAAGCAGTTATTTCACTTCAGAATTGCAAAGTTACTAGGAGACATTTTTTTCCCCATGCCATTCCAGAGCATCAGTTTTACTCTTAAACACTTGTGATTCGAAATGAGAACTTAAATAATTTCATTACTCCGGTTTCTAACAAGTCATTCAAAGATATAGTTGAACTAACTGAACAAATGTCACAGGTCTGACAACCCTTATAATAAATTATTATTAACAAACAGCTCTTCTCATTCATAAACAAGGGAGCTATATCCTACTCCGTGCCATCTTCACCTGGAAGGGATCAGCAAGACACACAAACTGAAACATCTCAGCCTGCCTCGTTTCAATACGTATAAACCCTCATAACTGTAGTCAAATTATTTAGGTAACAACTGAAGTTACTCAATAATACATCACCTCCCACTATTTCCTCCTAACCTCCTTGCAGCTGGAACTTGCCATCTCCCAGTAGCAGAGGAGAGAAGCTGTATGACATCTGCTGGACACCAAAGAGGTGCAGATATAGGCCAGGTAGAGGTGCACAAGCCAGAGCTTGTGCTCTCCAAGCAATCTTCAGAGCTGTTAGCTTTCTGCCAGGGCGACCAGCAAGAGAGCAGAGGGATTTAAGCTAAGATAAAGGTTCCTTCCAAGCCAAACCTATGAGGATTCTATGATTCTGGGGGTGGGTTGGGGGGGGGAGTTTCTGGTGTAGGGTTTTATATTAAGATTAAAAATAAACAAAAAAAAAAAAACCAAACAACTTCCCACAAGATCTCCAGTATTGCAATTAAGCAGCATTTACATCTTCAGTTAACTCTGCAGAAGTGCTAAACTAACAGGAACCCACTAGGCAGCCCTTGAGAAAAAGGATTTTCCCAAGTCAAAACCTGAATTCCCATGTGAATTCCTAACATATTCTGCTCCATAGGCAAAATGAGGTTTCCCATGAAACTAACAAACTGCCTTTGCAAAGGCAGAGCAAATATTCCCTTAGGTGAGTATGTTTTGGGAAGCAAAGCATCTCAGATGAGCAGAATTCCTGAATCCCTCATTCAGGTTTGCCCCACAAACATGCTGAACACCAGCTCAAGCTGGTGCAGGAGGAACAGCCACGAGCTGTGAGGGGAGGAGGGTTTCATTCCAGACTCAGCCACAATCCCCAGGAGACAGAGATGAGCCACTCCAATACCTTCTCCCTGCAGCACACACCATCAATCCCAGGAATTGATCTGCAGCACCACAAACAAGCTGCCTGTCCTCACATGGCCACTGATGCAAACAGACTAATTGAATTTTCAGAGGCCTCATCAAACCCATGGAATGATTTGCTGTAGTAAGACACAAGTCCTGAAGGACACTGAAGTCTCCTAGCAAATCTCTTCCCTTCTGAATGTACACTGGTAAGCCTTGGATAGAGTCTGTCTAGCAATTATAAAACCTGAAAATATTTTCTCTTTCATATTCCTGGAGCTTTCCTACTCTACCTTCACTCACAACACAAGAAGGAGAAAATAAGGTGTTGCTTGGCTTGTTTATATTTAAATATCTGCTTCAACCAACATTTGGATAGAGTGTCTTAATGCACTTCAGTTCCAAGACATTTCTTTTCCAAACAGACCAAGGTTTTCGTTACACAGTGTGTTGACAGGCACCAGATCAAGTTGGTATTAATACCAACTGCTCACAGTTTTAATTCCACCATTCCTCCTTTTCAAAAAGCCAAACCAGCTCCCTTTAAAAATCCTGGCAGGAGTGAAATCCCATAATTCCCACTGTATCTATAATTAAAACAAAAAGAAATCAGTGACTCTTCTCTTTGGAAATTCACAAATTTAGGTTATATAAACAGATGTCTTGTCCAGAGAGTTACAGGAATATTACTTGCAATATTTCATCTTTAAGAGCCACACCTGAATGCCACCACCATCTCACCTCTCCCCAGAACCCTATCCTGCCTGCTCATGGCACAAGCTATCCCCAGCCCTACAAAAAATAGCTGGATGAATCACCTAAGGACTCATCTGCCATCTGTTGCAGGCTGAAGGGATGTGGATGTGTGTGCTGGTTCTCCTGTGGAAGCCATGCTCCTATAAATCCCATTTCAGAGAACTTGAACACAGTATGAAAACAGAAATTCATCTACTGTCCATTCTTTTGAGCACATTTCTCCCACATGGAGGCAGAGCACAGGTCTCTGCTTAGTCATAGCCAAAGCACCATCACACAGGGATTTTGTGGGCATATCAAGCATGGAAATATGCTGTCTGTATTTATGATGGACCTAAAACAACAGTGACAAACTAAATTCCCAGTAAGGATAATAAGGAAGGGCCATGGAAGACAGATGACCTTTAGCTTCTGGAGCTGAGCCCCTTAGCTCTTGGATGAGTTTTATCTTTCCATCAGTTCTTATTTGGGAGTGTTAAGACCCTGTGCATGACAAAAAATAAATAAAAATAACCATAATAGAGAGCATTGCCAAAAAAGACCCAATTTATTGACTCAGGATGTGCAGGAGTGTTGGAATCCCATTCTGTCCCATCTTTTCACTTGCTTTCTATTTGCCTTGCTGACTGTATCTGTATCAAATTCCCAGAAGGCATTACTCTGGGAGTGACTGCAAGTTAGAGGACAGACACAGAATTCAAAATAATCTTGGAAAATGCAGAAGTGACCTCAAGAGGCAAATGAAGCTCAGCAGGGAGAAGCAGCACAAGGTAATACACACAGACAAGAACCACGGGCAGTTTAAAATATAGATGGCAAACAACTGGGTAAGTAATCTGGAGGTTAGAAACAAAGGAAGCTGATAGAACAGTCAAGGCTTTGGGTTGGTTTCATTAAGCAGTTGGTTTGTGGGGTTTTTTTTTCTTAATCTAGTGAGTTAATTTAATCTCTTGGAAAGATTTCAACACACAAGTGAGTCCAGGGCAGCATTAGTCAGCGATGCAGCAGCATATGACATCCTTCAGGCCAAAATATTTCTGGTATGCTGCTGGGAAAATTGAAGAGAAAAAGGTTAACATTGCCCTTAGGTGGGGGAGGAAATGCTGATAATGGAGTTTTACTGGAGTACAGCTTTGCTTGGAGCAGGGAGGGGGGTTCCACTGGACACACTGACTGTGCTACAGGAAGTAAGGGAAAATCTCCAGCAATTCAGGAGCTGAGGAGGAACTTCTTGGGCCCAAAAAAAAAAAAAAGGTACCTGGCATAGTTCACACAGACAACAGAAAGGTGAGGGACAGAAGTGGCTTAGTGTTCAGGAATGGTGGTCTCCAGCTGCTTTTCTTCCTGTAGATAAGATCTAACAGCTAAAAGCCAAGTCCAAACACAGTCTCACCAGGACAGCCATGCAACTTGGAAACTGAGAGTAATTAAACTCCTGAACAACCTACTCAGCTGGGCAGTGTTTTCCCCTCCCTTCCTTGGCATGCAGAGTTGTCAGATGTCATTCCACTAATGACATTCCATCTAAGGCAGTCCAGAATTTTTTGAAGCAGAGGGAAGCCAAGAAAATACGTGATTAACCAAAGAGACTATTTGTTTCTACACCTGAACATCAACTCTGGAAATTTTTCTGTCATTAAGTAGCAGAACAGCAGTAGTAGCAGCATGGGCTTCATTAGATGAGCTCTCATCTCCTTCAAACTTTTTATCTAATGAAAACTTCACATCAAACAGCTCCTAATCACACAGTTGTGGCTCACAGACCATTGCTTAAGTGCTGTGATTACAGAATCATACAATAGTTTGGGTTAGAAGGGACCTTAAAGGTCATCCAGTTCCATCCCCCTGCCATGGACAAGGACACTTTCCACTAGCCCAGGTTGCTCCAAGCTCCATCCAACCTGGCCTGGAACACTACCAGGGATGGAACAGCCACAGCTTCTCTGGGCAACCTGTGCCAGTGCCTCACCACCCTCCCAGGGAACAATTCCTTCCCAATATCCCATCTAACCCTGCCCTCTGGCAGTGAGAAACCATTCCTCCTCTTCCTGTCCCTCCAGGCCCTTGTCCAAAGTCCCTCTCCAGCTCTCCTGGAGCTCCCTTTAGGCACTGGAAGTGGCTATAAGGTCTCCCCAGAGCCTTCTCTAAGCTGAAAAATCCTAATCACCTCAGCTCTTCCTCACAGCAGAGTTGCTCCAGCCTTCAAAACATCTTCTGTAATCTAACTATCAATGTTCACTTCTGAATGGGAAGGCAACCAGCTCCAACAGGAATTTTTAAGCTCGTGTCTGTCTTGCTCAGATGATTTCCTTCTGCCAGATCAACTCCGGAAGAATCTGGGCCTAGAGATCACTGGTGTCTCTCATAACAAACTGTCTGCTCACCCTCCTCACCACCAAACCTGGGCAGCACACATGAATACACACTGCAGGGCCTGCCTGGTGCATTTTGGGGGGGAGGCTGAGGGAAGCACAGCAAGAGAAGCAGAAGCATCCATCCACATTTATTCCTAAAGGCTAAGATGTTGTAATATGTTATGGGACAGGAGGAAGTAGGCTGTTGTGATACACTAAAATAGGAAACTCCTAAAAGGAAAGGTTTGATCACTGGTTCAGCACAGCAACAAGAAGATGCCCAAATACTACCACCCTTCTAAATCAGCAACTGAATCATCAGCAGCAAAGTGCCCAAGACACATAATTGAGTTAAAAGATGGGAACTTGTGAAGTTCCTATCAGTGAAATTGCCATTAACTAGAAGGGGCTGAATTCAAAGCCTTCAGCTAATTGAGTGAACCTGATCAATACTCTTTGTCTGGCAGCCTCCAGCCACTGCCTAGCACTGATTTCAGAAGGAGCATTCATCTGCAAGATGCAATCAATACCCTAATCTCATGCTTCCACCAACTTTGATCTGACAGAAGCCACCGGAGAGAT